AGCGTGTAAGGCCTCGATGCATCCCTGTTCTCACACCTTGGCGCGACGATGCCTTCGCAATGAAGCTGGCTTTCACTGGCACCTTTGGCAGCCCATCCTCCCCCCACTGCACGATACTTGCTACTCAACGGCGAGCCGACGCACCAAGACTCCATCAGTTCACGGATCACTAGTTTTGCAGCCCTTGTGAAAAGTACGGCCTCGTAAAACATAAAAGGGCAGATGGAACACGTCTCATTAGCCACAACCAGCAAGTTAGCGTCTTGCCTCCTCCTCACTGCTACCGCGTGTGAGATCATCCTCGTGCAAGGTAGGCTTCCAGGTTCGCTGACGTAGTTGCTTTGTGTGCAAATGCACTAGATTCATTAGTTGCCTTCAGGCGTCTTCTGCTGTCTTTGCTCGGCCCCATTATTTGGTGTCGGGTAATTTATCCTCATCGGTGTGGAAATCAAACTCTGAGTAGCGTGAGAAGGCGGCTTACCAAAAGATAAAAATCAGAAACCTTAGGGCATGTTCACGGGATCGCAACTTCTTTTAGATATTGAAACTGCTGCTTAGCAGCTAAGAAGGCTTAGCACAACATTTTCTGTGTCTGGAAATGCATGGCGCATCTCTGTGATGTAAGCCGGGCCTTTTGAAATTATTTTTGGGTGATCCTAATTTGGGTCCCAGAACTTGTTTAAATATTCTTACGTTTTCGAAACAAAATAGCGCACCAAAAATAAACACAGAATCCTTACTGTGGGTTAACTAACTCATTAAATACAAAGATTTTTACAGGTAACTACCTCTTACTCAAACGCAGCCGAAGCTGCGGCCCCCAAAGTCCTACAGCAATAAAGTTATGCTCCCTCTTCATAATAGGGCATATTGTGATTTATGAAAGAATATAAAGTTTTATAGAAATACCAGCTTTCTTAGCTTAGTTGAAAATTCCGAAAAGCTGGAAATCGTGGAGGAAGCCAGTTCATGCAGAAACACCGAGTGAATGAGGCAGCACAAGTAAATTTACGTTGGAAAATAATTCTTTTGAAAAGTTTTTGGATATATATGCGTCCATATTACGTGCAATGTAATGTATGGCTGTTACCGAATAGCCCAAAATTCACGTAGGTATTTTAAGCCGTTTTCACGAGAATTACTAGTTGTTTCTTTCGTTTGCGTCTCGCTTGAGATACGTTTGACTAAGGCAATCACGTTTTTGCTTGATATGGCCCAATGTGAGATCACAGGAGTAATATATTTCTTAAGCTTTCTTGTGGATATGCCGATCAGTTAAAATAATAAATGTAAGTGGAATTGTCAGGTTCCATTTTAAACGTACCATTTTTGTACACTAATTGTAATTGCCTTTTGCCGCATTTTTTGTAATTTTTTTGAGTTTTCAATTAGGAAGTGGTTAAAATCTTCTTTGAAATGCTAATTAAGACTTCACGATTTTCACTGGCTTCAGTCTATTGACTATAAATAATGATTACATTCTAGGTGTTTACCAAAGCCTTCGAAATAAGATATAATTAAAGGCATTTAGCTAAATAACGAGGTTTTAACATCATTCCTTATGCAGTTGTCTATGTGTGTAATGGTGTCAGACCCACCCAAACATGTCAACTTATTGCCGAAAAAAGAAGGTACACAACAAACGCCGCGAATAAATATGCCTTAGATTGATTTAAAAAAATTTCTATAACAAGTTGCCTCTCGAAAAACGGCTTAGTTATATATTTTGGCGTCGGATTTCTGCGTACTTTTTTTAAAAATTCAAATCAAGACCAGAATGGGAAATTTTAGCCAGTTTACCGATTTCCATAAAAATTATGGGTACATATTTTAATATGAATGAAAGAGATCACTTTTCTTTTTAAATCA